AAAAAACAATTGTTTTCGCAAAGGGCTCACAATCGAAAGCCCAGAAACCATATGAACACATGGATGTGCAACATCAATTTTCGAAAATACCTGCGCTCGGTTTTCTGCGAAATCTTACAGAAAAACAAAAACGTGTTCATGTGTTATCTATAAAGACGTGTTCAATAAATTCGGCCAAACGGGCCCCCCGCGCCGCGCGTCGAAATCATGCGAGCGCCCTTGCGCGCGTGCTCGGGGAAGGGGGACACGATCCGTGTCAAAGAACACCATGCGGGTCACTCTCGCGCGTCGGCCGCGCGCGCACGTTGAACTCCTCCCAAACATTCAAGTCCTTCATCACCGACGCGAACGCGCAATCATCGTCGTCGTCGGCGTTATCAGCATCGGCGCCATCACTGGCCTCTCCGTCGTCTCTGCCGTCATCGTCACCATGTCTACCGTAGTCGACGGTGCCATGATACCGCGCCCGCCCAAGTCGCCGACTCGCACTGCAGTGCCCACTCGGAAGTGCCGAACAGTCAGCGCCACCGCGGCCGCGTCAGTAGCACCAAACTATCTGGCCGCTGCGCGCGCGAGCATGTACTGGCTCGCGCGGCCGCGGAGCTGCACCAGCCAACTACAAGCTCGAATCGCAATCGCCACCGTATGGGTTTTTGAAACTAAGTTGCGGGTGGGCGGGAGGGATGACTGCGCGAGCAGTGGAGTGGATAACTCACTGCGCACGGAAGGTAATTTCACAGCGCAGATTCTCTTTTCCCACAAGAATATTCGGATCACTCCCCCCAGGACAGATCACCGAGGGTGCGCCGCTGGATCTCCCCAAGGGGGGGGGTGGGGTAGGTGACTCCCCCTCCCCCCCCTTCCCCGATCCGTCGTCGGGCAACCCCCCCCCCCCTCCCCCCCTTTCCCGATCCGTCGTCGGGGACCCCCCCCCCTCCCCCCCTTTCGCCACGCCGCCCCCTGACGCCGGAACCCGACCCCCGCCACCCCTACCCCTAGTCCTCACCCGAACCCAAGCCCCGAATCCGAACCCTAACCACTAACCCCAGCCCCAAAGGGAGTCACGAGGGGCCCCCTACTTCCTAACCGCTAACCCCAGCCCCCTACTCACCACCCCCTATTCACTACTCGGTATTCGCTACTCACGACTCACTACTCACTATCCACTACTCACTACCCACCACCCACTACTCGCTACTCACTACTCCCTACTCACTACTCCCTCCTCCCTACTCACTACTCACTCCTCACTACCCACTACTCAATACTCACTACTCACTAACCACTACTCACTACTCCCTAGTCACTACTCAATAATCACTACTCATTACCCACTACCCACTATCCACTACTCACTACTCACTACTAACTACTGATTGCCAACAAATCACTACTCACTACCCACTACTCGCTACTCGCAACTCCCAACTCCCAACACAATACTGACTACACAGTACTCAGTCCTCGCTACTCGCTACTCCCATACTCGCTACTCAATGCTCACTACTTACCTCCCGCTACTCACTATTCACTACTCACTACTTACTACTCCCTACTCACTAGTCACTACATAGTCTCTAGTCACTAGTCACGACTCACTAGTTAGTCACTAGTCACTACTCACTACCCACTACTCACCAATCGCTACTCACTACCCACTATTCGCTACCCACTTCTTACTACTCACTGCTCACTACTCCCTACCCCCTACTCCCTACTCAGCACTCACTACTCACTACTCACTACTCGCTACTCCCTACTCATTACTCACTAATCACTACCCACTACTCACTACTGACTACACTCTACTCACTACTCACTACTCACTACTCGCTACTCACTACTCACTACCCACTGCCACCACCCACTACTTTCTATTCACTATTCATCACTAGTCACTACTCACTACTCCCTACGCACTACGCACTACGTACTACTCAGTACTCACTACTCACTATTCACTACTCACAACTCACTACTCGCTACTCACTACTCACTACTCACTACTCACTACTCACTACGCACTACACACTACGCACTACGCACCACCCACAACTCACTACTCACTAATCACAACTCGCCACCCATTACTCACTACCCACTACTCACTACCCAGTACTCATTACTCCCTATTCCCTACTCAGTACTCAATACTCGCTAATCGCTACTCACTACTCACAACTCACTACTCGCCACTCACTACTCACTTATCCGTACACACGAATTACTCACTATTCACTACTCACTACTCCCCACTCCCTACTCCCTACTCCCTACTCGCCACTCACTACCCACGTCTCATACTCACTACTCACTACTACTCACTACCCAATACTCACTACTCACTACGCACTAACTCACTACTCACTACTCACCACTCTCTACGCCCAACTCCGCACTCCCTACACAAGGGCGGGGAGGGGGGGGAGGGGGGCGGGGGGGGGGGGGTCCGGACCCCCCCCCCCCCCTTTGAAGAAGGAGGGGGGAGGGGGGTTCTGGA